AATCATAAATGAAACCTCATACCTTATAGTTCTGTCTTGGGTAACATTATCTCTTGTTTGAGAGACTCACTCTGCTAATCATAGCAATCCATCAGCCCTGCTCAGCCCATTAGGTCCCAGATACCTGCCTAGACACACGTCTGGATCGACTGTCTGCCCCAGGGTTCTTCACTGCACTATCTCCCTATTGTCTTAGTCCAGTGGCAAAATGCTCTATTTTTATTTGTATGACAATCCTTCATTGTATTCCTTCAGGCTTAGGACTTAGGGATATCAAGAAAAGTATGCATCTTTCAGGCAATTTTGGAGTTTTTCATAAACCACAAAATGTAAGAACTGTAAAAAAGTTATTCTACTCAGAAAGTGAAGCAGTATCTCCCAGCCTTTTGCCTGCCCAACTTTAACCCACCTGACTTACAAGTCAGTCTGCCCTTTTCTCAAAGAGAATTTGGAAAGAATACACCACGCTTTCATTCCGTGTCTATTTTCTTATCTCATGGACCCTAAAGTCACAGAAGATGGTAAAGTTCTTCCTTAGAAGACAAAAAGAGATTTTCTTCCTTAGAGACAAAAGAGATTTTGTCTGCTAAAATTTAATTCCCTCCTCATTCATCATCTGTCAAAATGAAATACAGTCTTGTCACAAACAGTGGTGGTACAATTAATGATAAGAGAAAACATGCTTTCAAAATCATGTTATTTTAAATAGAACTTTCTTAGGCATGAAAACATTTTTTAAAAAAAATTCATTGTGGTCCTAGCAATAAAATATAAGTTAAGCAGCTCCCACCAATTCATTTAAAAATTGGTTCTTAAAGATTGCCCTTTGCTCTGCTCACAAGTTTGGAAGACCTCAGGTATTGTACATCCTTCTTTGGACTTCCAGTCTCTCTTGAAGGACCTGTGTGTTAGCTGTTGAGTATGAGGCATCTTCCTTAAAAATAATAATGCTTTCAAGTATAAGCAACAGCAATGCCACCAGTTACAGTAATGATAGAAATGTAATTCATCCTTAATTCCCTCTCACTCACCCTAAAGCAGGAGAGGAGATGATATGTCTAAGAATTCAAATATTAAAACCCTAAAAAGACCCAGAGGAGACTGAGGGAATGGTCCATCAGCATGTGGATGAGTAAGGGCAGCTGGGTGGCCATGTGACACTGAGAAAGACTGGACTGGGAAAGGCAGCAAAGGTGCCTTCCATGCAATTAAAAAAAAAAAAAAGTCTTAGAAATTTGTCTCCCTGTTTCCATTTTCCAAGAATCAATTTTTAAAAT